ATCATTGTATAAAGATTTTCAACATCAAAAGTAATAAACAAAGTGGTTGGTTTTAAATGGCCATTGGCAGCATATTTTTCTAATGCTCGAACAAGATCAATACCATTAATAAATGTAGTTTGTCGAGCAACACGTAGAAATATAGGTGCTAATACATCATTAAGAAATTTGGATATTTCTGTTGCTGATGCATGAATAGCTGCTACAATTGGTCGTAATGGTGTATCGGGCTATGAAAATGAAAGATAAATAGATGAATTCAAAGAATTACATATTCTATATATATATCTTCCTAATGGAAATAAATACAAATAAACTTACTTTATGTGGTTTTGGAATAAAATGAAGATGAGCCAATTCTAATAAATCTATTTTTGGAGACATTTTCTTATGTTGCTCATAATTAATGGCACGATTTTTCAAGAGAGAAGCTAGAAGCATAGTAACTAATCGGAGATTTTCCGATAAAATACAACGTTCATTGGAAATCTCTTGATAAGCTTCGGTTTCGATCATATATTTCGAAGCTTTGTCACCGAAAATAGTCACATTACCTGCATAAAATACTTTGCTCTTGTCAGTTCGACGAACAGTAATATCAGGTCGATGACGTAAAATTTTTCTTATACTTCGTATTATTTTTTGTTCACGTCGAGCACGAATGTTTAGTTGACGTGGTCATTTTTTTGATTGAAGTTCGTAGAGTATACGTTTCAAGCAAGGAAAACCTTCTTTCTCACGTGGTTCTATAAGCTGCACACGATGATCATCAAGACAACCTTGAACAATTGAACGTAATGTTTTATATTGTTCATTGACAATATCATCAATAGATCGACGTGAGAATCGACTTTGACATGGTGGAATATATTTAAGACCTTTGATAAATATAGACATTTGTATTGGCGATAAATTTAAATCTGTTTCAATAAAAGGTGATGAGGCAGTAATATTTGTATAAATGCTTAGATTGCTCCGGCGGATACGTTGCCTTTGCCGTTGTCTACTGCCGGAGCCTGTTCGAAAAAAAGATATTATTTTATATTGAAATAATTCTTGAGCACGTTTTTTCATATTTTCTCCACGAATTTCTATCGCTTGGATGAGTTGTTCAGTAGCTGTTCGTAGTGAATTATTATCTAGTTGGTGTAATTTATTTTTCGTATCGATTGCTAATTGAGTATAACCACGAGCTGTATCTTGAGCTATAGCAATCGTCATAGCCATCAAATCAAATTTATATTGTGTAATTGTTTTAGAACAACGTGATGCCATACTAGCACGTCGATCTTTATGTAGAATAGCACGTGAAAGCATTGTTTGAATAGGAGCAATGGATTCATTAAGAATTTTATCAAATGATTGAGGAAGTCGTCTTAATGACACTCGTTTTCGAAGAATTTCCACTTCTTCCAGTGCTTTCTGTTCATTAGCTATAGCTTGCCTATACATTTTGATCAGTACAATCTAAAATATCAACTAAATAAATTTCTTTATTCCTATTGCATCTAATAAATCTGTTTATATATTGAAACCTGTTCTTCTGTCGGTTCGAATGCATATACGGCTGAAATGAAACGATGATCATCAGCATCCAATTTTAACATTGCACGTTTATGTTTGAATTCCATATTTAAACGATATTGACCATGTTTAACCATTGCTTCAACAGCTGTTGAGAGAAATTTTGAATCGATGGATGGCTGAACATTTTCAGTCCATTCTGGTAGATAAATCAATTGTTGTTGTAGTTCACGATTTGTTCGATTTATTTGATGTTGAATAGTTTTTTGACGTTGTTCGACAAACTTCTCGGATCGACCATATGATACACAAGTATAATGTTGTTTTGCTGCCGATTTCAGTATTCGTGGAGCCCAAATACCCTCAGTCATACCCAGATCGAAATAATCTTTCCATAATTCTTGTTGTAATTTAAAATAATACATCATATTAAAGGTATGAGCTAATTGACGTGTTGATTTTAACTTTTCGGCACTATCTAACCATTCATAAATTTTATGGCCATCAGGGACTGCTTTTGATAATATATCTTTAAATTTCCGATCGGATACTGTTAAATATTGAGGTACAAAAGTAGACTTGAACATTTGGACTGATAATTTTGTTTGATCATTCCGATCGTCGATCATTTGTAGTGCAATATTGTTGGTTTGAATATTTTTAATCTTCTGTTTTTTGGAACATTCTTGTGAAATCGACAATCGACTGAAAGATTGACTGAGATATCTGCCAATTTTAGTTGATGTATAACGTTTGCGTTTCTTTCGATTAGACTTAGGAATGATCTCATCGAATGGAACCTCCTAATCATAATAAAATCATAATACGATAAAGATTATTATTGATGGTCAGCCAATATATATTCTTACCATTATTTGTGTATCCTCTGTCATTTGGCTGATTTGATGATTAATTTTGTTTACTTCTATTGTAGTATTAGGAATACTTTGCTGTTTTTCTTGTTCTCGTTTTCTTTCTGCTCTTGCTTGTATTAAGAATACCCTGGTTTCATCATCCAAATTTGGATTGCGCAATCTTCGCTGAAAATTTCGTTCGGCTCGATTGCCGCGACTTTTCTTCTTCTTCTTCTTCTTTTCTGGTTTTGTTGCTATTAGTTGTGGTTGCTGTTTTGGTAAAGAAGATAAGATATCGAATGGTCTGTGTACTTGATTAGGCAAAAAGTCACGCCACCAATGTTCTTGATCATAAGGATATCGCTGCTTATCAGCCATTGTATTCCTTTTAAACAAATATCTATCAATAGATGTCTATCTAGAATAGAGCACAACTAATCAATATTTTATTATATTATAAAATATGAAAGAACAAAAAAAGCTTGTATTTATCAAATCATCTATTCAATACTACTGCTACTCTATTACAAGCAAACTACTTCAACGAGTAAAGTATAAAAAGCACACAATGTTCATTCATCCTTGTAGTATGGACGAGTAATATTGGTTAAAAATGGATCCATAGGATGGTATCCTATAGGAAAGAAAAAATAACAATAAGAGATAAATCAATAACGAAAAGAGAAGAAGAAAAATCAAGCAATACGAACTTTTTTTGTTTTGATGATGTTTTGACAAAGTTAAAAGACGAAGAGGTGGTCGTCTGTTGATCAGAATATTACTATTTGTCAAACAAGTTGGTGTTTGTTCTATCCATTTGATTTGAATAGAGTTTCTTGGTGATTCATTAGCATAATATTTATTCCACCAATATTCAAAACATTGTTTGAAAGCATCGGTACTTTCTTCATCCATTAAACGTGGGCATGGCATGAATAATGTATGTTCTTTTGCTTGCTCACGTTGTTGCTTCAATTTTATTTGTTGTTCGACATCTTCTACGATACACCGACGTAAATGATCATATTCATTATTATTCAAACGTAAATCCCAGAATTTTTCTAGTATATTAAATTGTTGGTAAAAACGTTGAATACCAGAAAGAATAAATTCTGATGTACAACCAAATGTCACAAATGATACCTGAATATAAAGTAGTTCACTATGGAATTTTTCCACATCAGAACAGCATCGAACGGCTCGATATAGAACAGCATATAATTGTTTGGTGGCATTTTCCATTAGTTCATTGGATACATTTGGTAAAGTATCAACAATATTTGGATCGTAATAAACTTTACTTTCGAGAGTACCTTTGTTGATATAGCTAATTTCCAAATCATGAAAATGGACTGTCGATCCAATAGATATTGTCGTGGCACTTCGACTATGTGCTGTCCTAACAGTACTTTATGGAACAATGTATGAAATTGATATTCGGATCCATGCCATATTAAGATTGCTTGTTCTCGATATCTATTCTCAGAGAAAGTTCAATAAAACATAAGTTATTATGATGGCAGAAAAAGTTTTCTCTAAGTTTACCTGCCAAAAAATTCATTCTTTTTCGTGAAATTTTTCACTAGTTCACGATATTATCCAAAAAATAAATAAGTATAAGCCAAGAATATAGTTAATGGTAAACCAGAAGCATCACCATGAATTTGTTGATACAATGCAGCATTATAAACATAGAATTGAGTTTTTAAAACAAGCTGTACTAATTGTAGGATAGTATCAACGGTAAGACCAGCTATTCTCTGATCTGGTAACTGTTCTCGAAGTAAATAGTTTAAGGCAATTATGGTTTCATCATGAGGAAAAATGTTGATCAAATCATCTAAATTGAATGTGACAAAAAGAATTGGAGATTGAAAGTGATCCATATGAGCATCATGTTCGATAGCATGGATAACATCAATAGCACCATTTGAAAATCGTTTGCAATTAGTTGCTCGATCAAAGATTGACCATAGAAGTGGAGTTATATAACGGACTATGTTTATTGTAGGCCCATTATTACAGACGAAGATCGGTCGAACTGGAATATTTTCCTAGATAGGTTTTTATGATAAATAAGAAGGAAGACAAGAGAACAAATCGATAGCCTACATACTTTATGAGTTTCTGGCACAAAATACAGATAATGCATTCGAACCGAACTTCGAACAATAGTCATGATCATATGCTGTGCTTGATGGATACAATTTGAATCAAGTAAATCATCTAATATACGTTCAACTTGCTCAATCATTTCCACTAGACATGTTTCACTGACATGACTATGAGCATCTTCTAATGTATGTATTCATTTGTAAGCACCTGTTCGGTTCATATAATCGACTTCTTTTTGTTGAAAGTCTTTTTCAGAAGCAATATAAAATGAAGTGCCCTTGTATGGTAATCTGATAATAGCCTTCTTAGCAACTAATCTACGTCGGCTAGATAGGATAGTACGATTTTCTTCTTCAACCTGATGGCGTTCATATCCTTTTAAATGATTATAGTTCAGCTGACAAATAAAATTGGGTACATCATTCCAGTCAAGATCTTTGAATTCTTCTGGCTCTTGATGATGAGAAGTTAACTGATTATCTTCGTCTTCACCATTATTGTCATCATATAAAATCCATGTGTTATCATTATCTTCACCTATGGAAATCCATTCTTCATGGTTATCAGTTTCATCTTCAAATGTTATCGGCATACGAGTCATTCTATGCTTCTCATGGTAGCTGTTCAGCTGCATAGATGTAAGATTCTAGGTTTTTTTTCAAGTAATATGATTTTCATAAAAGAGCAAAAAAATCATTCTTAATTTTTGTTCTTGTTGAGAAAGTGGTATTTGAGTCGCATTAAACTCATTGCAATTTTGATTTTCGACATTCTGCTGTTGGAAAACTATCTTCTTGGTATCATTACCATTGTCCTTGGTCATATCCATACCTTTCAACAAATAATTATTAGTTTATCGTGACTTTCCAAAATAAAAGAAGAGACTCATGATGTAATTACCTGATTGTTGTCGATAAATTTCCAGTCTGTGAACGACAAATCAAGTGTTCTGATAGAATGAAAAGAGAGATTATATCGATCTAGAAGAATAATTATATGAACCATTTTGTCTCGAATCTGAGTCCATTTAGTTTCAATTTCTCTCGAACAGAAACATTAGATAGTTTAGAGTATACGTTCGAATATTTTATATGTTGTCATTTTTATAGAAATGTCATGTAATCGAGGGCTGATTGATGAGACTGTTTCTGTGTTTATTAGAAATTTGAACTTCTAATTGTTGCTGGTATACGTATCTACAATAAGAAGAGAATCCACTTTATGATATATTTATGAAAGAAAAGATAACATGAAGAAAACAGAATAAGAATTGATGCGATCTATTAAAAGTATGTACAAGCTCACTGATTTAAGCAGTTTATGTATACATTAGAATGTGAAAGTCAGATTATCCATTCTAAAGTAGAAAAATAGTTTGAGCATGATGAATTTGAAACAATAGATGTTTACTTGTTCAGGGGCTTGATGTTCACTGATATAATCTTGAACTTGTTGACCACTCCAGTTTTCGCGAATTACTAGTGAGAATTTGGATAGGACTAGAATTGCTTGAAGACCTTTTTCTTCCGTATCGAGCTTTTCATGAAATGTATACGAAATAGCATTGGCTAGAGACCATTGATCATTGACATATTTAAGAGATCGATGTGTACAGGTAGATAATGGACCATCTATATCATCAAAATCAAGGATTTGACCACAATTTGCATTATGATTGAATGTTGTATTATACCATGTTTTAAATAATTGCTGAATATCTTTTATAATAACTTTGTTCACTTGCACATGATGGAAACCACGATAAATTTTGTCAAATAATAAACATTGAATTGTATCCGATACTTGAAAAATCTTTGAAAGTAATTCATCGAGGTGAAAATGTTCAAAATTATCTTCAAAATAACGGTTTAGAAAAGTTTGTACTGATGATGATGGTTTGATGAGTTCTATCATTATATTATGTCTATTGGATGACCATGGATCATTGGGTATTATTGTAAATGTTTTTGTTTCTTCTATTTCATCAAATAATTCTTCAAATATGGATGGTAATGTTGTTTCACTCATATAAAAGCATCTGTACGGTCGCAACGGTTTAAAATTGGATAAAAGTTTTGATTTTTTATGCTTTTTTATCTGATTATCTTCTATGGTTTTTGTGCGGAATTGTGCAATAGTTGATTCAAAAACAGATATAAGATTTTGTTGTTGGTAATAGTTTATTAATGTTGATATAATAATACCAAGTAAGATCGATATAAATGAATCAGACATCATATGTATCCATTGTGACCATATTGTACTATTACTCACACATGCTAAAGTGTCGTTATAACCAGAAACGGGATAAATGATTGAAAGATACATGATTATCCAGGAAAGATATGTATATAATGAATGATTGCTCATTTTTCGCTTTAAATCTGAAAGAGAAAAATTGAGTATGATTATGAATAGACAAAGTTATTTTATTTGTTAAAAAAAAAGGAAAGTGGAAATTATTTTTCGTTATCATTAATAAAACTGATTAGATCATCGAGAGATTTATACTGCAAATTTTTTCGCCTTCTTCTAGCGCTAGTTCTATAAAATTATTTATATCATATTGTAAGAAACTTAAAGTGAAACAACGAATGTAGGCTATCTTTACTGTATTCTTCTCGATTCTTTTTTCTCATTAGATGACTAAATCGAAAAGAAAAGAAGCATAGACAAAATCGAATAAATGTATTCATCTTTTCATTAAAATGATGTCAATAAGACAGGCGTCATTTTCATAACATATTTTGAATCTTTTACAAGTTTGTCTTTGCCAGATAATGCGATAGTTATCTACAATAAAAGGAAACAGACAATATAATGTTTCTAATTATGTATGAAAATTAAAGGAAGCTAATATATAGTAGAATAAAAAGAAAGAACAGTAAAAATTATAACATTTATTTTACATAGAGACAAAAAAAAATCAGAAAGTTCATTTCTTGCATATAGATTTGATGAAAATAGAGAAATATTATCCATTCTAGAATAGAAAAGGGTGTGGGTGTGGGTGTGGGTGTTTTCTTTCTCCATACCCATACCCTACACCCACACCCATACACATCCACACCCACCCACACACCCACACACCCACACCCACACCCACACCCACCCCACACCCACACACCCACACCCACCCACACCCACCCCACACCCACACCCACCCTTTAAAATCATTACCTAACACTATTGAAAGTGATCTATAAAGTTCGGTTTTATACTAGGCTTGATATTTTTAGGTTTCCTAACACCTAGATATTTTCAACAGTTGCATCATGCTAATGATTGACATAACTATCTCAATAAAACAGATTCTTTTCTGATATTTTTGTATCGAAAAATTGAGAGTTTTTGATAATCGATTAAAAACAATCCAAAAAGTGAGCTCGAAATTTTAAAGATGAAAAATCTTTACTTTAGGTCGAATTTGATTTCTAACGAGTGGCTAAATTTTCGTCACCATGATCAATACATTCACCCTGTTTCATGGTCCTTATTCTACTATGAAAAAGCGTGAGTTCAAAACTTAGAGTTGGGATTTTGATGACGATTAAAATAGACTAACTTCAGTACCCTTAAAATGGAGGAAAGAACTGGTGACAACCGAACTGGACTAATTTCAACCTAGATATGAACTTCGAAAGAGCGAATTTAATCTTATGAGAACCGTCTTATCTGTCATAGTAATATTATATTTCCATGTTCACCTCTACACAAGACGAAGACATTTATTATTTTCAAAATCTATCATATTCTTGATTTCCTAAATATACAACAGGACTTGAAAATGAAATATTGTAATACTAAATCTTGCTGAATCATTTACCTCAAGCGCTCGTCCGATAGATTTTGGTGTCGAGACAATCATGAGAATAGTTTCTGTAGATGCTAATTATGACAATGATGGAGTTAAATTCGGGCCAAGCCATTGTATTGTGAAGATCCAGAATGGGTCTAAAATGACTCTTTCAACTTGAATGACATAAAAATTGAATCTATCGTTTATTTGATTTTTTCACACCTATACTGCTATTTTATATGCATAAAGTTGAAGATTTACTTTTGATTTCTATTCAAATGAGAACGATTTGATTTAAAATATTTTTTTTGTATTTATTAGATAAAATCACTTAATCTAGTCGATTGGTCATTTACAACGCGTAGTATTTGAGATCCTTGCTTATAATTCACTAATCAATTACCTAATTTGAAAGACATTTCATTGACTGTCTTTAAGTCATTTGATGGTTCGAGACGGCAACGAAGGCGTAGTGTTGTTGAACAGAATGGATCTTCGAAACATATTCTTAATCTTATTCATTTATTTGTTGATAGTTTACAACAACATGTTTCGCATCACATAACCTTCCAGTGAACTTCATCTAGCACACGCTGTTTTCTCCATTTATTTCGACAACAACTACATGAATGGTAACTAAATCGATCGTATTGACTACGATGTTCATCTGAAACAATTTAAATATCCCGATAATATTGCACTAATTACATTACCACACATTGTTACTGTAAATTTTCTCAACGTATATATGCGTATGACTAAAACTATGTACAAGATGTTTCATTGATTAGAGTTGCTACTGCAACATTTAATATTAAACAAAATATGGTTTTTTTCCTATAATCAATATGTGAAACTATTGAATTAACATAGTGTAACTTTAATCATAAAATTATTCCACCAAAGTCAATATATCAATCAACAAAGTATTTATAAAAGAAAAATGAACCTTTCATTCGAACTACTTTTATTCATCATTATTTTCTGGATCTCACATACATTTTCGAGGAAAATAGTAAGTGTAAGTGTTAAGTCGAAGTTTGGTGACTGCCTAGGATTCTGTTCCCATTACAGACCATACTAAGCAGGATGCGTCCATTTTAGACATCTCCATCATAAACTCCAGTAATCGAAGCAAATAGGCGTCAAATTTTGTAGTTTTTTTTTATTGCAAAATTCACTACGTTGTAATTTTGAAAAATAATGAAAAACTCTTTGTTCGTATTGCACAGTTTAGAGAGATTCTTTATCGCAAGATTGATTGTCCTGCGAAACACCATAGTCACCAAGAGATTTTTCACTTTACGTATTTTGTTTTAGTTTAAGGAGGTTAAAAAACATATGTGAGTTCCACATTTCAGTCCTAAAGGAGCTGCGCTAACAAGCTTTCTTCTGAAGTTTCATTAAAAATGATCAAGGTCGAGGAATATCTGAATTACCTTTCATCAAACTTTATCAAAAATCATTATTTTTAGAAAATAGTGAAGTACCAAGGAGTATACAGAATTATAATGGAAGTATGAGGAAGTACGAACTCTTGAAGTATCGCTCCTTCCGTCTTGCACTTGAGTCATTGTTTACTGAAAGTTCTGACCGTTATGAAAAGATTGGTAAAATATTAATATGATTAAGTTTGACGTTGATTAGTAAGAGTGAATAAAATATTTTTGAAGAGCCTATCATTAACTGATGTTGCTATCGAATTCACATTACAAATATTTTAAGGATGGGCGTGAAAGTAATGTTCGGGATGTTCTTACTTGTCGAACTTCAACCGATAGCAATATACATAACCATACTCACACTCTTGTAAATAAAAAAAGTGATTTTTTTCAGTCTTAAAATATTAACTATACAGCACATTTATCGTAGACACACTTAGTTCTTTTTTCTACTCTATGAGATATATGACTCAAATATTGCCAAACTTCAAGCTCTAATGACTCATATATGTTATATTCAAGGTGAACACGTGTAATAATTATTAACGATTGTAATGTTAGTAAAACAAATATTTATGAGTCAATCATAAAAGGTAAAATTCCAGTTAAATTAGTCATATGATGAAAGAGTCTGTATATATATTTTTATACTTTTTGATTTTGAATAATATTCGATAGATTTTTATCATCAATAAAGAATAACAATATCTAATTTTTACGATGAAATTATTGGCAATATTTATTTTATATAAGGAAAATGATAAAAGCGCAAAAATTCTTCAAGATGAATTTAATCTTGAAAGTTTCGGCTATTTCCAGCGTCATCAGTAAGCTTCATTTTTGATATGATTTAGTTTCATACGGTATGATGTTTTCTTTTTCGTTCGTTTTAGTATACGACAAATTCTTGTTTTTTCAGCAAGAACAGTTACTGAACGTACAGCTTTAGGTGTCAGACAATCTGTCACATTTGATGAACATTTAAATGGTATACAAAAAACAGGCAATAAAATATTTTATTCTAAAATATTATCTTTTAGGTATGGTTCATGTTTTTGTTCGTCCCGATGGTCTTGCATCAGTTACTATTTCTGACAATGAATATCCACAACGAGTTGCATATAACCTTCTTAGCAAAGTAGATGTCGATCTTTTCATTTATTTTTCTATGATCTGTCATTGTTGTTTTTTGTTCTTTAAATTAAGGTTATGAATGATTTTTCAAATTTATATCCACCAGCCTCATGGTCACAAATGGAAAAGAAGTTAGTTAAATTTGTTTGTTGAGAGAAAAGAACAATTAGTGAATGTTTTTATTTTAAATTAGAACGGATCGATTGGCATCATTGAGTGAGTTGTTGAAGAAATATCAGGTAAGATATTCAAATATTTTAAGAACTATATATTTACATAATTTACTTTAAGAATCCACAAGAAGCTGATCTATTAATGAGTCTTGAAAAAGATATTGATGATACAAAAGTTGTTCTTGTAAGATTTAAAATATTTCATTAAGCTCTATGTTTTATAATTTATTGATAGATAAATACAATCGAGAAATTACTTGAACGAGGTGAAAACATTGATAAATTATTACAACAATCGAAGGATTTAAGTGATGTGACGAAGGGATTTGCTGAAACGGTATGAAAACACTCTTAATTCATAAATATAATAATCGATTGTTATTTTCAATTTTTTAGGCTAAAAAGACAAATAAATGTTGTAATTTATTCTAATCATTCATAATAAATACTCATCGTTCTGAGTACGAGTTTCATGGAGATTTTCCATTTTGAATATCGGTTGCAATAATAAATATTTATATTTCAGAGATGTGTGTTATTCTTCTAAATCTCATATTAAATAAAATAATTTTAGAGCATGTACAAAAACAATTCACACTTTTAATGGCATTTCTAATCAAAAGTATTAGAACTGAATTACACGAATTTGTAAACACAATGTCTTTAGACGATAATGAGCTATGGTTATTTGACTTTGATGAACAAATACTTACTATTTCCCCTGATGAGCCTTCAGTAAATTTAATACATGAATTTTGCTTTAACATAGACACTAGTAGATGATAGAATTTTATGGATGTCGTATGGATCATTCGTATCTGTTGTTCAATATGGACAAACCAGATTACAATGAATACATTTTACTCTGTTGCCAACATGATAGCTAAAAAATCTAGCATTAATCATTTGCGTGCTGGATGGAATAATATTGTAAGACCAACGTGAAAACGAACGTCAAAAACCAGCAGCCATATCAAGATTCATGTGAACGCATTGTCTTTTTTATTGATTTATGTATCCTTCGAATTTTATGAAAAAGGTTTGAGGACATATAAAAACTGTGTGTAATCTTAACATATTGGCTTAAGAATTGTAGATATTTTAAAAGAAGTAACATATTATGTATAAGAATATATCTTTGTCAAGAAATTTGAAAAAGATTTTCATCATAAAACGATCTTAGAACGTCTTGTTTTGAACTGAGTAATGAAACAATGTGCTAAGCTGTTTGCTGCATTTTCAAGATGAAAACGAAATGATTTTCATATTTAAAAATCGTTACTATATGATATCATTAGATTTTCGACTAGCTAAAATTGACGTATGTGAAGTCGTTTGTTGTGAAAGAATATTTCGTATATCAGATGATATTTTTGACAATGATTGTATTCTAAATACGTGTATTATGTTTCATTCTAAATAATCGATCTATTAGAAAGAGGGCAATTCTTGTAGATGACGGAAAGAATCATTAGATAGCATTATGCCATCATACTAAGAAAAACTCATCAATAACAGAGCAAACACAAAAGATATGAAATCAACGTAAAATAAAATCAAAGTAGTGACAGCATCTATTCTAAGTAGAATTTTAGTCTCTCAACAATCATTAGATTGTATTCGTTGGAATTTCCATTATGTCTCAGTGGATAAAAGTCTGTTATCATTAAAACTAGATCTGAGACATGATGCGGGTGGATGTGGAGTGTAGGTGAAAGTTAACAGAAGTACAACACTCACACTCACACTCCAGAACAGTTTTACAAACGACCTCGATCTAGCTATGTTTGTTGAATAGACTTGTATAAATTAGCTAAACTTATTCTAGTTAATCTTCCGAAAACAATTGAAATACTTATTTCTTCTGTTTCTTTTTGTGTTAATTCAATAAAATCATTTGTAATTTTTTGTCCTTCATTTGAAAGATTCATTTTAATTATTTGTAATATGCACTAAATTGATGAATATGAGCAAAAATAATATTTTTATCAATTTGTTTAATATCATATTGAATATGAAAAAGAATAGAAACAACATCAATTCTTTCTGTTGATTTTAGTGCAAAATTTAATGCTAGTGATTTTCATCGGCTAGTTGATAAATATCTATTTGTAGAAATAAGTTTTCTTTGATCTTCTTTTAATTTATTAAATTCTTCTTTATGAAGTTCAACTCCTCGACAACCATTTAATTTTTTTTCATTTGATAATAAAACTTTTTCATGTTTTCATATTGAAGATTTTCAGAAAGATCATCAATAAAAAATCGAAATATATATAATAAATCAATATCTTCTGTTCTCAATGCTTTATTAATTAATTTATAAACAAATGATTGTTTTCAATACCAAAGAATTGCATCGTTTGATTGATAATTTTTTTCAAATTCATCAATTAATTTCATTTTATTTGTTGTTTAGCTTGTCGATTTCGTGGAAGACGAGCAATAACATAAATAAATAATTGAAACCAAAGAAATTCTGCTGATTCGTGTGATAAATGTTTAGTTGATTTTTGATGTTGATCAAAAAAAGAAAATGTTTGTATTTGTCTATCAACAAGATCAATTTGTTCTTTTATTGATTTACTTAAATCATCAAGATTAATATAAATTCCAATCATTTTTTTGAAATCATTTAATAAATATTCATATCGAGTTTTTCGTACACAAAAGATAAATATTGAATGTATTTGACGAACAGAAGAAAGTCGAGATAAAATTTCTGATGGTTTTTGATCCTGATGTAATTAAAAAGATTTTTTCTTTATTAATTGATTCAATAAATGTAATACATTGTTCAAGATCAGCAGAAAAAATAACATAATCATTAATAAAACGTAGTGTTTGTTTTGTTTTTTCAGTATCTTCACTTGATCCAATATTTGGATCAAACGAAATAAGTATTATACTTTCTTTATTTTCATTATTAATTGTGGTCAACAATTGATCAGGTGAAAAATCACATGCACGAATTTTTTCTTTTTCTTTTTTATATTTTTTACATATTGTTGCTTGGTAAACTTTTTGTTCTGCTATTATTTTATTTATGAAAATTTCTTTTTTTAATCCTTTTTCCTCCCATTGACAACTGGAATTTCTATTTATAGAAACATTGCAGAAAATGCCAAACGTGTGATATCAAAAAATTCTTCACAAACTGTGTGTAGAAAATTTCCTAAGCTATCGATTGGTAACAAAAGAGACGATCATAGGATAATTTAAAAAAAAAGAACTTCTTCTTTTTAAATTGTCTTTTTTTATCTACGAGAAATCCTCTTCTTGATGATGTGCTGCACGATAAATATCGACGAAAGTTGTCACTATTGAATAAAATGCGTTTGAAAATTTTCATACGAATTACTTAAAAAAGACGTAGAATATCTTAGACCATGATTCGTCCAGGACCGCTCTCCGAGTACAACCTCATGAGTTCTATCAGGTCTACTAATCATTTCTCAGAAAACATTGTCTTATTAGCCAGAAAAAAACAACTAATTATAGCAAAACACGAAAAAATCCTACAAACTTCAAAGCAATCTGTCACAATTCGACCATGAGTGCACTTCAACAAAGCTATACATCTCTGAAGATAGAACGCGCCGAGCTCTAGCGTGTGGGTGTGAATATCCTTTATAGACGCATCTACACCCACACCCAGATTGAGGAGCTTGTTGAACAGGGATACGAGTAGATACTAATGGAAAATAACTCAATCGAGATGTTTTTAAGAAACACTTTCAGTTCTCTTTTTGAGATGAGTCTGATACTAAAGCACATAACATATTGTAGTCGATGTCTTGCATAAAGACGCTTGATATTTTAAGTTTGTATTTATATTTTCAAAAGAAGACAAATGCACAAATCATATGACAATTTTGAAATGTGAAAGGAAATTTGGTTCGGTATTGATGAAAAATGATGTTTTTGGAATTGATTTATTTGGTGTCACTTGAGTAAAAGGATATATTTATTAATTAACACTAGTTGACAAATATCGACATTCAAGTCAAATGTAAGCAAGAATTCGTTTCTATTTTTGAGGGAAAGACCAACATACATCAGTTATATATGGTGCGTCGAACTTTTGCTCTGGCATATTTTCGATACGATCAATTATTTGACGCATTTTCATAATAAAATTTTCTTTTTCTTCGGATGGCAACATCGAAATAAAGCTGAACGATAAAAATCGATTAATAATTGTCTCGCGAGTCATCTGTTGTATACTGGCAAATTGTTTATGCTGCAAACATGAAAAGAGATTTTGGTTCTCAAAGACTGCCTTCCATTCCATTGATTTATATTGTGGTACTTCAGGTGGTTGATAACTATCCATGAGTTCTAATATTTGTTGTGACCAGCTGTACTTCTGATAGTCAAGTGTATTCCAGATGAGTACGAGTAAACCGTTAGGTTTGAGGACTCGATGAATTTCGGTCAAAGCTCGTTCATTTGCAAACCAATGGAATGATTGACCACAGAAGATCACATCAACAGTATTATCCTCGAGAAGAATGTGTTCTGCAGTGCCATCAATGATTCTAGTAATCGATGGAATTAACTTCAACTTTTCACGCATTCCTGCAACTGGTTCAATGGCAATGATTTCTTGGGCACCGACGGTCGACAATAAGCGCGTCAATTTACCAGTTCCAGCACCGAGATCAACAATAGTTGTAGGCGTAGGACAGAGTGATTTGATAAACTGAATAGCTTCATTTGTATAGGATGGTCGTGCCTGATCGTAAATTTTGGCTGCATCTTGAAAACCCGTAGCAGCAACGGAATGCATACCGTTAGTACCAGCCATTATGGCTCCTTTCTGAAAGAAAAACCATTCAATAATATAATCATCATTTGATGGTATCAGATGAAAATGATTCTATCTATTTAATTGGTCTCTGTCTCAATGCATCACTAGTTCACTTGTAATGCATTGTCGCATTGTTCGGCGAACGAACAATTGGAAACATTTTACACAAGATAAACTACTATGTGGGACTTTTCAAGGACAATGGATTTAATAATTCGAAGCTAAATTTAATTGATAGCTGGTAAAGAAAGACCTGTTATGAGTGTTCATATTTATTCAGCTCATAGCTGTGAATTAAGACCCATGAAAGCAAAATATCATTTTGTGTAATTGAAGTAGGAATAATAAAAAGTCGAAAATAGTTGAATTGAGTCATAATGCATGTTGAAAATGTTTTTTTTTCGAACAGAAGTAAACATAAAGCGTAGGGTAATCTTTGGAGTTGCGATAAGAGACACTCACTTTCACCTATACTCACTTTTCGCTAGATATCGTTAGTAGTTGATTAGAATATTACCCTGAGCTTTAAAGTACTAGTCATTTTTCAAACAGTTTTAGGCTTTAGCATTTGTTGTCATTCACATGTTCTGCTTCACAGTATTGATTTTTTTGAAAAAAACTATTCGACAAATAGCCAAAAATGAGTCAAATTCATCTTGAGTTAGTGAACACTGCCGAGATGTATGATTCATCAATAGGAACTTAGGCGAATACTACCAGCCTGAGTACTCGACGATAAAAGTTTATCGCGTTTTATTGAAAACATTAATTCTTATTGAAAAAAAAAATCTTCAAGCAAATTTTGAATCATTCTTATGTTTACAGAGATGACAGAGCCAAGAAATACGATTACCTAGCAGGCCATAATATCAGACGTTTCTGAGTTTGAAAGCAACAGAATGAAGTTTATGTACAACAATGGAGAGATAAATTAGCGTTAATATCTTGCTTTCTTCGGAATAGATCTATATTTTTAACATGTTGGACCATCCATATTCAATACTTGAGACAATTATTACGTAGTTCATTTCCTTTCCATGTTAATTTAAATAGTTTTCGGTTTTTGATGAATCATTGTGCTATTTTTGTTATATTATTGATACCAGAATGATGTCATCCATCTAATTCGAAATTCGAATTCTTTAACAAATCTTTCATATCTTAAATTCGTGTTGTTGGATAATATTCCATATCTAATTGTTTGATATTACTAGAATGATTAATAAAATCAGGTCGATACAAATTGCTTTGTTTTGATTATTGTAGAGATTAATGTATGCTTAGCTTAAAATGTTTAAACATTCTTCCGTACAATATCGAATGTTGAAACATGATCGATAATATCTTGAGTAATACCGGTTATTGAAATATATAATTCATTCAATTTATTTCTAATTAATGTTAATGTAACAATGAAATTCTATAGTATACACATTCAATTGTATTTAATTGGAATCATCAAATTTATCAGAATTGTTCTGAGGTACAATTATCTTGGTAATGAAAAATCGTGTCAATATCGATAATGAACTTATCTTGAGAGTTGTTTTCGTATCCGAACAAACAAAACATTCTTGGTACGATACATATTCTCACTGTATTCGCTTTGTACAATTTTCTGTTCAACAATGTCTCGATCATCGATAAATACTAAAAATGAATTGACGATTGCTGACTGTCTATCAATCGGAAAATAATAAAGTGTGTTGATTGATGTTCATTTATTGTTTTCAAATAGATGCTTTAGAGTTCATGGTTTTTGTTGGTTTTTTTTCTAACTCGCACAATGAGCTATGTGTGTACATGAATGCTTCAGTGCTTTTCTTTTTGTTTTTATCGTTTTCTTTGCTAGTTTATTACTAAAACTCGAACAAAAATTACATTTCAACGTCTACAGCGACTAATTACAACGATTGTTACAACCATTCGCCGCTGTTGCGTATGGATGGGATTGAGATAACCGATGATATTAATACATATGATATGATGAATGTCCATGATGATGCAAAATGGATGACGTTCACATGTCTTCTCATTTGAGAACATTAAGCCGAAATTAAAAAAATGTTAAATTCAACTTCAGTCTTTGTTATAAAAAATCATTTAAATAGAAAAAAACCATTTAAAGTCTTAGATTTTCGTTGTTTCAATTCATTAAATTTTTAATTTGTAGAAATTTCAAGACAACTTTATTTGTCGATGCCAATTATTTTTCGAAAGGTTAACTGAAAATTTGAAATTTTCGTCTCTTAAATATTTTAAAGTCTACTTATAACAATTTTAATAAAACGTATACCTGTTATTTTACTTTTAAATAACTGCATTTTGTCGAGTGCCCTAAACTATATAATTTCTTGTTCTAATCTCCATCATTCTTCTAAGGATTCGATCATATATAAACACCTTTTAGTCCGTCATTGCTAAATAATAGTGAATTGGCTTTAAGAAACGTAGAAGTTTTCAAGGAAAAAAAAACATCCATTAGTCATTTTTTCTTATCTTTTCTCCTGTTTTAAATTATGTTGATTCTAAACAAACAACAAAGGCCAAATACTTTCTACTGTGCATGAGCATTTCTTTTCTTATACTATATCTCTTTTACTGTTATGTACAGAACGAGTTGATGTGACTGTTAATGCTAGTTTCAATGTCCATCCTATATGTTCTAGCAGAAGGAGACCAGTTTGATTATTTGGGCTTGACGGTACGTTTCGCTTTCACTGTCGTATACTAATATCTTTGTTTTTTGTTTTGTTGATTGAATCTATTGTATATTTCATTCAGTTACGGCTCTGGATAAATTTCAGGCAAGTGTGGAACCAATGAGACGGCAGAAAATACGCCGTTCAACGACTTGAACATTTAATTTTTCAATCAGCTTTTTTTTCTATTAATATACATAGTGTTTAATACGAATGGTCTCGATTATTCTACTAGAGTACAAAGCGCATGTCATATTTCTACAATGCAAAATTGCTTTTTCAAAAATATTTTTGTTGATGAGCAGAGTCCATATATGCAACTAAATAACAACTATTATGCGTAAGTATTCGGTGAATTCGTTACACTTCATTGTCAGTCTTGATGCGTTTTTTTAAACAGTTTCACAAACAACAGTAAAATTTCAATTAGTCGTCACATTGAGCATCACGTCTACAAGACAAGCTAAAATTTCTGAATAGAAAATAATAACGATTGACAGATGGTAGCAATCTGACATCTTCGAACTTTCTTTCATTACACTTTATTTTTAAATGCATACAAATTACATAATAAAAACAGATCCCTGAAACAGATAAAACAGAAAAATCTATAGCGTCATTTGATGTTTACCACGACATTTGCATACCCCAGCTCCACAAAATTCGGCTCCAATAGAACCGAAAGCCGCGCCCACACCAGCACCGACAGTAGCGCCACCGATCGTACTAACGAGGGAGGGTCACCAACTGATCAATCGCTTTTGAGCCGGAACTAT